AGGGAGAGAGAGAGAGAGAGAGAGAGAGAGAGAGAGAGAGAGAGAGAGAAACTGGTGGAAGAGAACAAAGACGTTATAATATTGCTAATGCAGACCACGATTTAATCTACAATGTATTCCTTTTAATGGTTTACCGTAGCAGCAAAGACATGTTCTGGGGTGATCCAGGGCCTTCTTCAAGGGTGCAGCAATCTGCGCCGCACCTCCCCACTCTGTCAAGTCCTCCAGTGAAATAGTACATTTATTCTGTGTATGGACGTGATAGTGTGAATATTTAATGTTTTTTTTCGTTGACTTGGACGAAGAGCCGCGGGGTGGAGCAGTTAACGTCAATATACATTAAACATTGTAATGCAATAATGGGAAGAAAACATGTATGAGCCACAGAGACACTGTCCCCAGAGTCTTCTCTAACAATAAAACAAAGTAATTAAGAAATGCTCAAATGGGAAAAGAAAAACTGTGTTTCCTGGTTTTGGTCGACTTTTGGCATGGTTTACATTCTCTCGAAATAGCAACATAATAATAAGTAATAGTCCAGTAATCATCGATTCACATCTAAATCTAGAGTGAAGGGATTTACAGAAGGCCACACTGTTGTGTTGGCTCAGCGAGCACCTACAGTATAAGCAGCTTAATAATTAATAAGCAATAACTAGAGTGGACCTATGGTATGGGTGCCCCTGTAAACAGAGAGAAATTATTTAAAAGACAAGAGCTGACAACAGAGACATGGATCTCCAATAGAATTTCTTCAAGCTAGGACTGAACAAAGGAAATGGCATTTTCTTTTTCTTCACCGCCCCAAAGTTGTAGTCGTTCGTAGGGACACAGACACAAGAATAGGTCCTCCTTCACCCCCTTGTTGAAGTTCATAAGCCTCCTTCATACCGTCACACTTACAGTCGTTGCGTCTCTCGTTTGTTCTTTCTTGTTCTGTCACTGTAACCCAAGGAGATTACAGTTTGTCGTGATTCTTGTTTGTGGTTCAGGGTAAGAGTGAAGACCCTGGGGGATTGGCGGGTGCTCTGGTGTGGTTTGCTTCTTCTTTACTATCAAACATCTGTCGCCATTTTATCTCTCCTCCTTTTTGTGTTTGTTACTCTCTTGTAACACCTCTAATCTTGGGCACTTACATGACTTAATTATCTTGCGTTGCAAGTGCCGTTAAATGCTAACTAGGTTAAATTAAACAGAGTGCAGGGCCCGCCCCCACACACACACCGACACGCACCGACACGCACCCATAACGTACCGCGCGCACTTGGCGGGACACACCTGGCCTGGCGAACAGCCCCTCCATCCATGCCCCTGGACTCGTGGAATCCAGCGACAGGTACAACATGTTTGTAGATCAGGGGTCTCAAACGTGCGGCCCGCGGGCCAACTGAGGCCTGCAGTACCATATTTGCGGCCCCTACTTGACATCAAAGTTTAGTGTCAATGGGTCCTGTCAGTTTTTCTCACACACTGAATGCTTTCATTATGTTTGTTTGGTTTGTTCGTTTTGTTTTGTTTGTTTGTTTTTTTGTTTTTTGCTGTTTGTTTGTTGTTGAATTTTTTGCAAGGAAAAAAATTAAGGTTTTCCTGTACATTAGTCATTTAAAAAGTACATGTAAATTTAATCAGCATCTATAAATGTTACACTAAATGAAATGGACCGTAAGTGTGTTTTTCTCGGACAAGCATCTACATCAATTATAATATGCCTATAGAATCTACTTGTCGGGCTACCACAAACTGTATGTATTGTTTCTGTTTGAAAAAGAAAAGGCGAAATGATGGGCCTGTAAATAAGACTAGAGCAGAATCGTAGAATAATCATCCTAGATCTATATCAGTCTTAAAAACCTATACAAAGTGGCACGGTTCTGAAGATCTTATTCTAATTCACAGTGTGTTAAGTAACTTCAATTCGTTCGTCCTTTAAAATCAGATTTTTAAAAAATGAGCAACGGCGTACTCTTTTTCATTTAGTTTGTATGGGTCACGGTGATACGGTGGTCACGTGGAGAGGGGAAAGCAAGGTCAAACAGCCAGCGAGAAACGACGGAAGGATTGTTTCGTATTTGGCCAAGGAGCTTACTGTAACCTCCTTGTATTAGGCCCACAACACATGTATTATACATTATTATATAACCTTACCTGTGGCTTTGCTCCAGTTAATCACTTCTCGCCTCCTCGCTTAAAGCAGGCTAGATGCCAAGAGACAAAAATAGAATTCCTTTCTGACCTATTATTATTATAATGATAAGATTGTTTATGTAACGCCTTTCCGCGAAAACCTATCATTGTCATGATTAAGGTTTGTTCTAAATTTAGAACAAGAACTAAGTCGGTATTAATTTTTTTTTAAACGCCCATACATAATGCAAGGTAGTTTTGACGGTCGAAATTTCATTTAAACCTATCCAACTCCAGTAAGTCCCAGCCAAATAAGAGTAGGTAACTTTGAAAATTCTGCAGCAAGTCAAGTTCAAGAATACCCTGTAATTTGAGGTTCTAGCAATGATACCGATCGAAATCCAGCGTGATATCAACTGAGCTACTGCACAGTAGGCTACTGCGCGCGCGCACTCACACACACACACACACACACACACACACACACACACACACACACAACCACACACACACAAACAAACACAAAACCACATACATACACACATACACATACGCAAACACACATAAACCAACACTCTCACATGTAGAGTATGTAATTTGTATGCAATATATTTAATGTTATATTATA